AGTGAAAATGCTAGGGCACTAAAGGAAGGGGCCATTCTGGGAACTGGACGACTTCTGGAAACCGGAGGCCGAGTGTGGGAGCAGGGCCAGGACCAGGACAAGGAAAATCAGCACTTTCCAAACTTGGTGGAGAACTAGGCCGTGCGTGGCCCCAGCACCGGGTTCACCAGGGGCCTGGTGAATGTTGTGTCCTCACAGCCCCTTCTTTCCCTGGGAGACTGGAAAGGCTCGTTGTCTTCCACTCCCCCTAAACTACTAACTCGGGGGACCGAGCACTTTCTTAGGCTTTATTTGTGTCTTGTGTGTTTCTTGTATATTAAAGAAAGTGATTTTAAATTATGCTTTTAAGTGTTATGCCTAAACCTTGTGCTGGGCTTCTGTATGTAGAAAAGCAGCCTGAGAAACTTGTGTTCCCTGTCCTCCAGGCCTCTTCTATACACTTCCCTTAAATCCTAGTGTTCCCCCGGGGCTCTGTCCTTGGCCTTTTCCTCTTGCTCTCTCTAGGTGTTCACTTCTAGGGATTTAGGTATCACTTTCTTATATTCTAGTAACTTCCGGATCTCTCTAACCCTGACCTTTATCCAAGTGCCCCAGGCACTTCACAGGTAGTTTGTCTACAGTTGAATTTGTAATCGCCCTCCCTGCCCCTGCCGCCCCCAAAGCTATTCTTCATCCCCTGCTCTCTATCCCTGTAAATAACCGCGTTATCCACCCAGTTGCCCAAACCTGAACCTTGGCCATTATCTTGAATCCTTCCCTCTTAACATCCCATATCCTGGCACTTGGCACTCAATCCTGGTGATTCTGTATTCTTTAACCTCTTCCCCATCCTTTTCCCTGCCCCCTGTCCTATGGCTCTTGCATTTCTTGCCATCTACCTCCTGCCTTGTTTCTCTCCAGTCTCGACTCTCACCTTTTCATCAACCTACACCGCTGCTAGGGCAACCTTTCTTTTTCTTTTTTTTTTTTTCTTTTAGTTTTCTTTTTTTTTTTTAAGTGGTATTTATTTATTTTGAGAGACAGACAGAGCGTGAGCAGGGGAGGGGCAGAGGGAGGGAGAGAGGGAGAATCCCAAGCAGGCTCCTCGCTGTCAGCACAGAGCCTGATGTGGGCCTCAAACTCACGAAATGTGAGATCACCACCTGAGCTGAAATCAGGAGTCGACTGACTGAGCCACCCAGGCGCCTGAGGGGTGACCTTTCTGAGAAGCACGTGACCGTGAAACTACTCTGCTCAAAACTCTTCAGTTGTTCCCCATTGCCCTTAGGATAAAGTCTACACCCTAGCCTGGCATTCAGGGTCTTTTATAACCCCATTCCTTCTCAACATAACCTTCCTGTAGAGATGCACCATAGGCAGGTTGTAGTCAACTATGTGTGTATGCTCCCCCAGCCACCTGGTGAGCACCTTCTCCACCTGACATGTCTCAGGCCTTCTCTGTGAGGCTTGGGCTTCTGCCTCCACCCTACTCTGCCCACAAGCTGTCTGGTACCCAACCTTCATCCCTGCACCTATAATGCTTTATTACTTGAGTTAGACCTGCATCTTTTTGGAACAGAAGTGGGGCAGAAGCCAGACATCCCAGGCCTGTACACTTTATTGCAGGTGCTTTAGGAGAGAAATAAAGAAGGTAGAAAAGGGAGACATCATGAAGGAGACAAGGGACAGGATCTTAGTGGTGCCAGAGCCATAGTCACAGGGCTGAGTGCTCTCTGCCACCCAGATCTGGATAAAGGTAGTCGCTCTGGGGGGAGGAATTCTAGGGCCTGGGGCCTCAGACTGGAAGCCTGTTAGGCTTAGCCAAGGGCTGGGGAGGGGTCAGTTGTCCTTGCTTATTAAGGGAGAAGCTGCAGGACCGTGGAGAGGGGAGACCATGGGAGGAGATGGGGCAGTTCTTTGCCCCTGTGTCCCTGATAATGCCTCCCAAAGGCAGACTCCCCATTTTTCCCCACCGCCCTCAAGGGACAAAGCTGGGTGGGAATGGCAGCTACGGTATAGAAGAGAAAACTTAAAGAAACCTTAGAAAAAAATTGGGCAGGGGAGGGGCAGCTGTGTCTTCGTGGCCTTTTACCTCCCCTCCTCCAGCCTCCTTAGTTCCAGACTTTGAGGAAGCTGTCCCAGGAGCCAGTGGCCACAGCCATCCCGTCAGCTGTGACCCCCAGGCAGCTGACCCTGTTGTCGTGGCCAGAGAGGACGCCTGAGAAAGAGGGAGAGGAGTCAGCCTGCTTTGGCAGACAGTTCACGTGCACATGTAGGAATTCTAGGTTAGACTGGCCATGGACTCTGAGCCCCTGGTGGGGACTGAAAGAGGATTAGCCCTAAGGGGCAGGATTTCTCTCGAGGCCAATGTCTGTGAAGGGTGGGCGGGGTGCAGGGCGGGGAGGGACAGGAGAAGGCTGGCAGTGTCAGTGTGCTGTGGAAAAAGCCAGGGGCACCTTGATGGGCCCTAGAAAATGGGGAGGTAGCTCTTTAGTCTCATTACTATGTTTCCAAATAAAGAGACTGAGGCCCAGAGAGAAGTGACTTGCCCGAGGGCCCTGAGAGCCTAAGGGACAGAATTCAGATTTGGATCCTGACCCTCTGGCCAGTGTTGTTTTCATTCAGCACGTGGCCTCTCCCAAGAGAAGAAGCCACCCCATCTGATTCAACTTCAGACCAGGGTGGTCCTAGATAAAGCCCCTAGGTTGGGGTCAGGGCCCTCAGGTCACTCTAGACCTCCTTGATGGGGCTTCTTGCAGTTTCCTGAGATTGCCCTTTCCTTCAGTGGATGCCCCTGAAACTGCAGAGGCCCTGGAAATCCAGAAGTGACTGGACATTCAAGGTCCACAGGTCTGGGGTGACACAGAAGCTCCTTTCACGGGAAGCAGCTATCTCATTAGGTGGTGGAGAAGGGCCACTAGAGAAGATGGCCCTAGATTGGGAGCCAAGGGGGACTAGATTCTAGGGATAGAGCTCAGAGTCATCCAGGAATTAGGGAACAGTGGTGAGAGGGTCCCAAGGAAGGAAGCTAGTAGGAAGGTCCTTCCAGCTGAGGTGGCAGAAGTGTGGGGGGGCGGGGGCAGCCCTTACCCACACGCTCGCCCTTCATGGAGTCCCAGATGTTGCAGTTGAAGTCATCATAGCCTGCGAAGAGCAGGCGGCCGCTGAGGGAGAAGGCCACGGATGTGATGCCACAGATGATGCTCTCGTGGGAGTAGGCAGTCAGCTCCTGATCTGCCCGCAGGTCAAACAGGCGGCAGGAGGCGTCGTCTGAGCCTGTGCAGATGGCCTCTCCGTTGGGGAAGAACTGAGGGTACAGGTGGCAAGGGGGTCAGGACTCAGACCTGGGCAGCCCGCTACCTCTCCTGCTCTCTCCCTGGCTCCTGCCCTGGTGCCTCCAGAACAGCCTCTCTGCCTATCCGTCCCCCAGCGCTCTTCACCGCTGACATTTATCCCACGCCAGCCACATGCCAGCGGCTCCCCTACACCCTTCACCTGCCCCTCACTACAGAGCGGCAGGCAGGCTTTATTTCCACATTGCAGGCGAGAGCCTGAGGCTGAGGGAGGGCGGGCAGCTTGCCCAGGGTCACATGGCTAGAAGGGCGGCGGCTGTCCCAGACTCCAGACTCCAGGCTGGATCAGAGCGTGGAAGTACGGGGCCAAGTGCAAATGCATGACCTGAATCTCATCACGATGAAATGTCAGATAAACTCAAATGGACGGAAAGCCTAAAGAAAACTGGTTTGTACTCTTCAAAAATGTCAATGTCACGAAAGACAAAAGTAGAAAAAAGGTTCCAGTTTAAAGGTAACTGAAAAGATATGGCAAGGAAATGCAATACACGTCCCTGGACAGAAACAAAACAAAGCCAAACCGTTGCTATTATTTTTGAGATAACTGGTGAAATTTGAATATAGACAATAGACTATATCGTGTCAATGTTAAATCTGATTTTAAGAATTATACTGTGGCTACAGAAGAAAATGGCCTTGTTTTTAGGAAACATGCACTGAAGTATTTAAGGGGTAAAGAGTCCTGATAATCTGCAACTTGCTCTCAAAAGACCGAGGGGAAAAAACTAATAAAATGTATCTGTAGCCACATCTAGGTGTATGTGTCTGTCTGTCTTTCCATGCTTCCCTCCCTCCCTCTACGGAGAGAGAATGATAGAGCAAATGTGGTAAAATGTTAGCAGTGAATCCTGGTGAAGGGTAGATGGGAACTTTTTTGGTTACTCTGGAAACTTTTCTGTAAGGTGAACTTATGCCAAAGAGGAAAGTTAAAAAAGAAAGGGGTAGGGAGCTTGGGCCGGGATGAAGGATGCATGTGCTGGGTGTGGTGAGGGGTTCCCGGGAGCTGGGGTGCAGAGCGGGGCTCACGCAGATGGCGTTGATGTCCGACTCATGGCCAGTGAATGTCTGCCGACAGGTTCCCTCCCGCACGTCCCAGAGCTTGGCGCTGGCGTCACAGGCCCCCGAAATGAAGAGTTTGAAGTCAGGAGAGACGGCCAGACTCATGCAGTCCCCTGTGTGTCCCACAAACACAGTCTTCTGCTGCCCAGTCTCAATGTCCCACAGAGCACTGCCGGAGGAGAGGAAGCTGTCACACTGTCACAGAAAGGCCAGGACAGAGCTGCACCCCAAGCCCCGGCACCCACGGTGTTCTGTCCTCACCAAGTGGTGTCCCCGGAGCTGGTCACAATGTTGTTGTCGTCCAGGAAGCGGCAGCAAGATAGATAACCTGGGGGTGGTCAAGACAGCGCCCTGGCTGCAGGCCCACAGCACCCTGGTGCTGGGGCTTCCCTGGGCTTCTCGCAACAGGGACTGGAAGAGAGGGTTTCCCACTTACCTGTGTGAGCAGACAGCTCCCGGCTGACCTTGACATTGCCCTCACGGGATTTGAGGCTGTAGATGGAGCACATGTTGTCCAGCCCCCCACATGCCACAAAGTTCCCTGACGGGGCATAGGCACAGGTCATAACCCAGGAGGAGCGCAGGGGGATGGCATGCACCTGTGGGAGGGTGGACAGAGGCAGGACCTGAGCAGAGCTCCCAGGTGGGGAGGGCAGGGGAGGGTAGGCACAACGAATGCCCCAAAGGAAGGACAGGGGGATGGAGGGGTGGGGGGCAGCTACCTTATTGGTGGTATAGGTGTCCCACACAATCAGCTTCCCGTCTTGCGAGGCACTTACGAGCAGCCTGGGCAGAGAGCACCCCATGTCACCCAAGCCTCTCCTTCCTGCCTCCCCACCCCCGACCTCTGGGTGCCTCTCAAGTCTCACTTGGAGTCGGTAGCCCAGTGCATGGCATAGATCTTGGCCAGGTGTCCCCTTAACGTCCGCCTTGTCCGCATCTGGACTCTCCCCACGACCTCTAGGCCAGACACCAGCTGTAGAAAGGGGGGCACTCGAAATCAGGGTGAGTAGAACACCTACCTAGATGTCAGTGTCACAACCACTGATCTGCACAAGTTTCTGTTCTGTGCCAGGCTCTGGGTCAGGCCTCCAGCCTTAGAGAAATAAGTCTCTGCTTTGGAGTGGCTTCAATTGATGTGGGAGAGACCATGCATGGCTAGCAGCACTAGGTGTTTGACAAGCACCTCTCCAGTGCGGGATGGGGGAGGAGGAGACAAGAGAATGATTTCTGTCATGTAAATAGTCCCACCTTGACCAGTTTCAAGCTGCCAGTGTGAAGTCACCAAACACGGACTTGGGAAGAGACGCACACATTCGCGGTCCCAAGCCACTGGGAGCTGGGTCCCATACAACACCTGCAGCATGGTTATCTCTTTCCCTGGGCACCCAGGGCAGCCCCATGACCCTGAACGGCACCTCCTGAAATTTGTGGTCCTATGTCTCTTAAATTCTATCCAGCTTCTAGACTTCGGCTCAGGCTCGAGTCAGTGGCCTTGACCTGTCATTTACTTGCTTTGGTATCTTGGGCAAGTTACTCGCCCTCTCTGATCCTGTTTCCTCATCTGCAAAATGAGGTTTGTAGCATCAACTCATGGTATCGTCGTGAAAATTAAACGCAGTTACGTATCTAAGCAACTTAGCCCAGTGTCTGGCTCGCGGCAAGTGTTCAGTAAATGTTCCCTCTTACTATTAACATATTTAACCCAATATAAGGTGCCACCAACTCCAAGAAGCACCAGGCCTCTAGGTATCACTGAGAAAGAAAACATGTTGCCCATTATAAATGTAAGGCATCATCTATTTTTGGACGCATCTTGATCTCAGAGATGTCACAATGTGAAAAGATGTGCCCTTAGAATTGGTGAAGGACACGATTAGAAAACTAGTAACTGGTCTATAAGGGCTTTGTGATTTGCAAAGCACCGTCCCTCTCCTCATCCTCACCACCCTGTGAGAGCATGTGATCATTCTTGTGTTATGGGTGAGGACAGGGACATCATCTGCATTCTTAGCTTCCAGTAAGGGGCTGGCCCACAGCAGATCTCACTAAATGTTTGTTGAATGAATTAATCAATGTGGTTCCTCATTCTAGGGACACGCTGTACTAAAGCTTGGGCACCAGGGAGCTTCCCTCCCCTCCCCTGCCGTGCCCTCCGGCCCTGCCTTAGGGGGTAGGACAGGAGGTCTCACCTCTGCCAGAGTAATGTCAGCACAGGCTTTCCGGGCATCCTGGGAAGGGGGCGGGTGGAGAAGCAGACATCAGGGGAGCATCAACACAAGGTGAGGGTAGTGGGTGCATGGGCCTCTGAGGTAGGTGGGCTTCGGGGCTCTAGGGTTTGGGGGACATCTCAAATTTGAGATCCACGTTCAGAAAGTCTCTGGCCACTTCCAGGTCAGGGGTCTCTAAGGTGTCACTCAAGAGTAAATCCAGCCCCCTTCCGCCCCCCCATCCACACTCCCTCGTGTCCCCAGTTCCATGTTTTCTGGGGTTCCCCTGTGGAAGGGCTCTGGGGTTACGGCAATCTGCTTCTTGAGCTGCTCCGCTTCCTGCCTCAGCTGCTCCATTTCCCCCATGGCTGACAGGCGGAGGGGTAGCTCCGGCTCCTGTCGGGAACAAGGGGTAAGCGTAGGGGGGGGGTCCCCACCAGGCCACGTTTCTGTCCTCTCCCCCACACCTGACTCAGGGGCTGGAACCCACTACAAGAAATTGAGAGACGACTGGGTGGCCTGCACCACCGCCCCACCAGCCCCTTCACGTTTGGAGCCCTGCACAGCCAAGCCCAGCCCTGCCCGAGCCCTCCCTGCAGCCCCCAGCCCCAGACAGCCGAGCCAGGCCAGCCCCCTCTTACTTGGACTCTGACTGGACCTCTCCCAGGTTTCCAGGCGCTTCCTCACTCCCTCAGCTGCGACGCCAACCCGTCACCTGCCCCGGCTCTGCTGCCAGAGGAGCTCGCCTGGCCTGGCCCCAACTCGGGGGGGGGGGGGGGGGGGGGGTCAGGGGGAGCACTGACAAAGAAGGGTAGGGCAACGACAACGACGACGTCAGGCCAATGAAATCAGCTGGCAACGGTGTGGGGAGAGGGCAGGAAGGGAGGTGTGCAGCTTCCAGAGAGACTTGGGCCCAGCCTGGGGCGGTGGGTAGGTGGGAACAGGGATGTGGGGCTATAGAGAGGAGCAGCCCCTCACAAGCCCTGGAGGGAAGAGGGGCTGAGGGGTGCTTCCTGGGCCAGTCTCCCTGTAGGCAGAGATAAGAGCATCAGGCCCCGTGGGATTAGAGCAAAGCTGTGAGGATTAAAGTTTGGGGTTTGGGAGGGGGGCAGAAGAGCAGAAGCAACCACAGCTCTAGCCCCCCCACCCCCCACCCCGCCAGGCCCTTGCCCCCACCAATGCTGATGATCGTGGCAGTCAGGGCCTGCCTAGCAACCAGTCCAGGAGCCAGAATAGGAGGGTGAGAGGTGGCTCATCGTCAATGCCCAAGATTTTGACTCTTAGTTCAGAGTTGTGGGGAAGGGGGGTAAGAGGGTTACGGTGAATATGGGGAGGGTGCAGGCAGGAGCTGAGATTAGAAGGGACTGATCTGGATAATCCTTCTTCTCAACAAACCCCAACCAGCTGCCCCTGGGTCTGATCCTGGGGGGTGGGGAAAGGCACAGGGGATCCAGAGAGGAAGATGGACGGGCCTGTCCCTGCTTTGAGTGGACCAAGGGTGGGAAGCGGGGAGCAACCCCGACCCCGCTCCCATCTGGGGTTTGGCCCACTCCTTGCCCCCATGACTCACGGAGTCCTGCTGGGGCTGTGAAGGCTGGAACCAGAGGGATCAGGCTGCCCTATGTCTCGGTCAAGCTCAGAGAGGGAAGACGGGGCTTAGAGTTGGAGGCCCAAGGAGCAGCTGTCAGGGGTTTAGGTCCATTTGCATGCGGGGAGCAGGTGGCCGAGATTTCCCTGACAAATCACAGGCTTTGAGTGGCCCCGCCTCTGGGAGGCCCAAAGACACCTGTCTCCTCCCAGGCCAGCCACAGCCACTCCCCTCTGCAGACACCAGAGAAACTGTGATACACTCCATCGGGCCCTGGCTGAGGGATCTTCAGCTCTTTATTACAGGCTGGAACAGGGCACTGGGGCTATCCTCCCTCTCATCCTCCACAATGGAAGCAGTCGGGTCCTATCCCTGCCATTTCTTTCCAGGGAGGCATAGTGTCCTCGGTCTGTCCTAGGGCTGGAGGTCCATCAGCCAGGCCTCGTGAGCTCTAGGCTCGTCTGTGCACTGTCCTCTGAGTCCAGGGCTGGACAGCCCTCGTGATCCCCAAGGGAGTAGGGGTGCAGGGACAGAGAGCTCGCTGTTCTGCTCTCATCACATGGGGGCTTCTCGTGGGTCCTGGCATCAAGGTGGCCCTTCACAAGTCAAGTGGCCACCTCCCCACGGAGCTGGCTCAGTCCCTCACAGCTCCTCTCGGACCCGAGGTGGTTTCCCAACTCTGTCCTGGACCCGCTGAAGCCTGCGGCTGGGGGGTTCTGGGGAAGGGTCTCTGCTTGGCGTTTCTTCCTCTTCCTCCTCCTCCTCCTCTTCCTCCTCTGGCTCCTTCAGTAGCTCTTTGGCTTCTGTCCACTCCTAGGGAGTGGGGAGGAGAGTCTGGCCCAATCCCCTGCATCGCCTTGCCCCAAGGACCCTCCCTGGGGCATCTCAGCCCCTGCCCCTCATCCTTCACACACCAGGAGGGCCATCCCTTCCTGCTCCCGCTCCTCCTCACCTGCTCCCTGTGCTCAGGTGCCCAGGTGTGCCACAGTGCCAGGGCGCAGCGCCGTCCCCGCGTCACAGCCCACACACCGTGGGGATTCTCCCCACCGGAGCTGAAGGCCACGAGGCGTCCACAGCGAGGACGAACCTGAGCCTGGGGGGTGAGGGCAGGTTCAGCTCCAGGGATAGGTGCTCTCAGAGAACTTGGCCCCGACTGCCTAGAGCAGGATGGGGGCAGGGGCACAAAATGTTCAGCTCTCCTACCCATCACTTCCCATTCCTGAATTCAGGGCCTATCTTGGGGGAAATGAGAAATCGGCCTCAACCTGAGGAGCACAAGTGCCAGACCAAGGCTAGAGGAGTTGGGAGCTAAAGAAAAGGGGCCTCCATGGAGGGCCTCCTGCCAGGCCCTTCCCAACCCCTGCCCAACCCTTTGGACCCAGGGTGATGCAATCTGAGGGTGCAAATGCAGTACCAGACTCTGGGTACTGGGGATAAGGATCTTGGGGACATTTTTCCACCTCAAGGAGGCCTTGGATTATCAGTAGCTGGCATTAGCGGAGAAGAAGCTAAGTGGGTAAAATGGAGGAATAAATGATGAAAACTCACTGCCCCTCTCCTTCTGCCCAATTCTAGCCCCTGGTTTATGCCTGGAATAGGGTTGGGGGTCCTGTGCTTTACCCACTCTACCTAAAGAGGTGAGGCAAACACTGAAGGCAGGGTGTGGAGGGGCCACTCGAGATCCCCTGAGGAGGGGTAATCAACCTCTAAGAGAGCCCCTGAACACAGACCAGTGGTGGAAAGGGCTGGGGAGGCCAGGAAAGGAAAGGGTTAAGGTGACCCCAGGCCATTTCCCTGCATTTGCCTCTGGGAACCTTCTGTTTTGAATCCTGAGTCCACAGCTGGGCTCCCTGTGACACCCCCACACCCCCTACCCTGCTTACTGTGACCGTGAGGGCGTTAGGCTCTGTGAAGAACAGGTCCCCACCATGGAAGTCATCATTGAGGTAGAGGAGCCCACTGGAAAGGGAAGGAGACAGCAGGCAGTGAGACCCCCAACCCAGGCCCGCCTGCCTGACCCCTGGGGGTGGGGGGCGCCCACCTATAGTCACGATAGGTGTAGGCCGGGGGCTCCCTCCAGCACTCCCCAGTGTCGGGGTCCAGCACGCAATTGTCTGCGTGCACCGGGTGACTCAGGTCCATGCGCTGCTCTTGCTCTCCTGGGAAGCAAAGGGGCCTGGTGAACACCCCCGGGGCCCATCCACTGCCATCCACACCCACCCTGAGGCTTCGGGGGATCACTGCCGGGCCGAGCAGCCAGGCCCTCACCGGGGCAGGGGAGTCAGAAAACCCACAGAGTGCGGGGGCTGCTGAGGGTGTACAGTGCCCAACAGGGGCTCGAGGTTGGGGAGGAACAGCTGGGGTTCCTGGCGATTACCTTCTATGGCACTCCGGCACACCAGGTGGGTGAAGGAAAGATGCAGGGGCCGCTCCGGGGAAAAGTAGGCCTGTGTCAACGTCCGGACGCGCTCGCTCACCTCCAGAAGCAGCTTAGCCCCCTGACTGCCCACGGCCCCGGCCCGGGCCAGCTGCAAGCGGAGAAAGGAAGGGTGGGAAAGGAGGGGACCATGGAAGGACAGCCCAGACCCAGCCCCTGCCCTACTTCCATTGCTCTCCACCCACGGGTTTGGAGTCTCAGCAACCGGCTCTGTCCATCAGCCCAAACTGCCCCTTCCATTGGCTCTGTGACCATAACCCAGGTCCCTACGTCTCAGAACGCCTGCCCCACCCCCAACTCTAGGCAGAGGACTCGGGTACTCTCGGTCTCCGGAGAGCCCTTCCACAGGAGAGGCCCAGGCCCGGGTTCCCAGCCTCCTGCGTACCCTCTTCTCCGGTTCTGGGCTTCAGACCAGGGCAGGGGGGCTTCCTCTCACCTGTGCAGCCTTGAGCACTGTGAGCCCCTCAAAGCGTTCATGGGGGGTGTGAGGGGAGCGGCGGCCACGATAGCCAGACCTGGCTCCAGCCTCAGCAGCATCCTGTGGAGGGAGAGAGTAGGCTGTGGAGTCATACTCCCTGGGTCCCAGGCTATCTCCCACCTCACTGCCCACAGGGATACAAGACCTTCCTCCAATCCTCCCGCTTCCTGCAAGAAGCTAGAAGCCCCCAAGTTTCTCTGGTGGCCCCCCTCCCTGAGCTGCTGCCCTTCACGCAGAATGACTATCTTCATGTCTGTATTGTCACTCTCTGGTAAAGATATGGAATCCCACTCACCAGGGCTTCTATGCCCAGAACGCTGGAGAGCTTCCTACAGTGGGGAAGGGGCCTCTGAGAGGCTAAGGGCTGTTGGAGAAGCGGGGCAGGAAGGGCTTGAGCATTCACTCCTGATGAGCTAATAATACAGGAGTCTCTCCAGAAACAAGGCCCTAGCAGGAGGTTTGATAGTCAGGCAAGGTCCCAACCAGCTCAAGGTGGGGAGACAGCAGGTCTCTGACCTTTTCCCACCTGACACACTCTTGGAGAACGTGAGGACCCTTGATGCTGAGTCCCAATTACCCAACCACCTATGCGAGTCTCATTACCTGGGGGTCTCCCGGTATTTGGATGTCCTTTTCCTGACACCTATTCTTTTGGTTGCTTTTTGAAACCACTACCTGTAACCCTGCATATAAACTCCATGGTCACCCAAGCCATCTAACCTTCTCTCCTTGTATTTATTCATTCAACAAATTTGTACTGAGTGCTTACTATATGTCAGGCACTGTTCTAGGCACTGAGTACACAACTGTGAACATGAAAAGGTCCCTGCTCTCATGCAGTTCATATGTTGAGATAATAAATG